CTGCTTTCAATATTCATATCATAGGTAATATCAGAATAGCCCAGCAAGGAACTTATACAAACAACACTTTAAAAAGATATTGGACTATATTGTGCCCTCCTTTATACTCATGCAACCCATTTAAGTCAATCCAGTGGCAAGGGTATAAATGAGTGCAGAATGCTGAGGAATGGGGGGATCTCAGAGAAGACAGTGGTATATACAATGTTCTCTATTGGACCCCAAATAGATTTTGGACATGAAGTACCAAACTTTTAAAAAATATTGCAAAATTTAAATGTATTTGATTAAGTTGTTCCAGCAATAGACAGGTCTGGCAAATAATATTAACATCCAAATAGTTAATGATCTATAAAAATAAATATTTGAGGGCTCATATCATGCAAGGAACAGAGTGTGATTTTCTTACTCACATGGAGGAGCATTTATTCATGTTCAGTAGGACTCCTCATGTGAGTAACTGCTCACCAGTGTGAGGAAGGGGTCATGATATGGAAATTAGAGGACCTCTTAATTTCATGTAATTCATCTCTTTGTCAATACAGGATTGTCCCCTTGGGTATAATATGTATTTTTTTCCAGACTTATTTACTAAGGCCCTAAGAGATGGACCTCCTCCGCCCAGTCTTACCAAACACATTCTCAGAACATTTTCTTAATATTCTGCCTGAGTTATTCTTTTCTTAATTTCATCCTCATCATTCCTAGTTATTCCTCAAACCAGGCCCTAAGTAATTAATCTCTTTTAAAAATGTGTATGGCTATGTCCTTCCCTGAGTTAACCTGTAGTCAGCCAGTGAGAGGTCTGTGTTTCGTATCAGTTCTCATTAACTTCCAGCTGTGTACTTAAAAGCATTTAAGAATTTAAGAAAAGGTTCATCTTAATTCATTTGAATGTATAAAGTTTACTTATGTCAATGATGCATTTCAGCTTCTCATATCACACCTAAAGTGTAAAGCTCTTACATCATGAGGATAGCAAAAACAATCAGCTTCCCCTCCCTGTTCTGCCCTCCTGAGAACATATTATTAAGGCAACATCCCAAGAACGTGTAATATGTCAATGTTATGTGATGACAGCAATATTGTTTTGTAGTTAGATGGGAAATTACATTTAAATGATCTCAGAGCACTTTACACTCATTAAACTTCAGGTGATCCAGGGATGTAAGTACATGAGATTGTTCCCATTTAACAGATATTATTATCACTATAATATATACTTTTGTAACTCAGAGGACATCTGCTTTGCCTTACCCAAAGCACAGAGTAGGTCACTGCACACTCATGATCCTAACAGCATAGTACGTTACACTGTTTAAAATAGAGTTTATTTTTTCCTTTATTTTCTAATTTATAAAGTATCCACTACAAGGTTTCTGAGTGCTAGTGACAGCAGGGGCACCCTACCTGGCCAAGGGGATGAAGTGATTACTTTTCCTCCCTTTCAAGGAGATTTACTGTTTGCCACACACCAAAGGAATTGCACAAGATGTTAGCTCTCACACCCTTATTAAAAAAGTAAGCTTGAACCAAAAGGCTTGGGCCACAGGAAGAAGAGGAGGTCACTCACCTGTGCCGTAACTGACATTCTTCGAGAGGTGTCCCTGTGGGTGCTCCACTGTAGGTGTTGCTGCGCCCCTGCGCCGTTGTTCGGAGATTTTTACAGCAGTACCCGTATCGGCCACGCATGCGCGGAGCCTGCCTCACAGACCGGTCTTGTCTTAATAGTGCGCATGCGCGGCCGAACTCCTCAGTTCCTTCTCTACAACGGAGGCCGCCCCAGCTCCGAAGTAGAGGGGAGGAGGATGGGGAGTGGAGCACCCACAGGGACACTCATCTTGAGGAACGTCAGTTTCTGCACAGGTGAGTAACCTTCTCTTCTTCTTCGAGAGATGTCCCTATGGGTGCTTCAATGTAGGTGACTGAAAAGCAGTATCTCTCAAGGAGATAGGGACTTTGGATCTGGAAGGAATGCAGTAGATAGAACAGCTCTGCCCACACGTGTATCGGTGATGAGTCCCTGTGTAAGAGCATAATGTTTTGCAAACGTATTTTCAAAGGCCCAAATGGCAGCTCTGGAAATGTTCTTAAAGAGGGACGTTATGTAGAAAGGCCACTGAGGCTGCCATGGATCTGGTGCAGTGAGTCCTGATAAAGGCAGGAGTCATCATCTTCTGTAGTTGATAACAGAGACAAATGCAACTCGAGATCCAGTTGGAAAGTCAGTGGTTAGAGATAAATGAGCCCTTAAAGCATTCTGCAATGGGGACAAATACCTTGTCGGAACGCCTAAAGGTTTTAGTCCTGTCGAAGTAGAAGGACAAAGCCCTGCGCACGTCCAAAGTGTGCATCGTAGATTCAAAGGAATTTACATGTGGTTTTGGAAAAGGTACGGAGATGAATAGGCTCACTGGCATGGAAAGAAGAGTGCACCTTCAGCAAATTTCGGGGAGTAAGTGTAGGGGGACTTTGTCCTTAAAAATATGGTGTATGGCGGATCTGCCATGAGTGCTGCAATTTCTTCTGTGCGTCTCGCAGAGGCAATCGCTACCAGAAATGCAGTTTTCATAGAAAGATGTAGGAGGGAACATGTGGCTAATGGGTCAAATGGTTTTGGGTTAGGCATGTTAAGACTAAGTGGAGCTCCCAAGATGGATTAGGCAGTTTGATGTCTGAGTATAGGGTTTGGGGTCCCTTAAGGAATCGCTTAGTAATGGGATAAGCAAAGATAGTCCTATCATCGATGGCATCATAGAACATTGTAATTGCGGCCAAGTGGAGTTTGATGGGACTCAGGGAGAGTCCAGAGAATTTAATCCCTAACAGATAGTCGAGGATTAGTGGGAGAGGCATGGAAAAAAGGAATGGTGTTTGTGACAGCCCACCAGTGTGTAAATCTTGTCCAGTTATAAAGGCAGGTGGTGCATGTAGAATTTGTTGTGCTATGAAGGAGTACATTTTGAACCTGCTCCAAGCAAGTTTGCTTGGCATGAGAGAACCATGAAGGAGCCAAACCTTGAGGTGTGACATGGTTAAATTGGAGTGGAGTAGTAGACCCTGTTGTTGGGACAAGAAATTCGGGCGGAGGGTAGTGGGATGGGTGTGGAAAGCGACATCCTGGTAAGGAAAGGGTATCATGCCTGTCTGGGCCATGTGGGGCTATCATTATGACCCTGGCTTGGTGTGTTCATATTTTGATCAATAATTTGTGTATGAGTGGTATCGGGGAAATGCATATTTTAGGTAGGTGTTTCATGGGAACATGAACGCATCCTTCGAGGAGTGTTTGCCTAGTCCTGCTCTGGAACAAAATCTTGGGCATTTCTTGTTTGTTGCAGTTGCAAAAAGGTCTGTGGTTGGATATCCCCTTGTGTGGAATATGTCTAGTACTATATCCTCGTTTAGTTCCCATTCGTGGTCTATGGGAAATCTTCTGCTGAAATCGTTGCAGTGGTATTGAGAGAGCCAGGTAAGTATGCAGCTGATATTTAGACACTGTGCCTGAGACACCAGTTCCATCGTTTCATCGCTTCTGTACAAAGGGTGTGGGATCACGCCCCCACCCCTTGCCTATTCACATAGAACATGCAGGTAGTGTTGTTGGTCATTATCCTGACATGTTGGTTATGTATGAAAGGGAGAAATTCTAGGCAGGCACTGCATATTGCTCAGAGGTCTAGACGTTGATGTGAAGGGATGTCTAAGCAGGAGACGAAAGCCCCTAAGCAGTGTATTGGGGCATGTGTACTCCCTATGCCATAAGAGATGTGTCTGTAGTTAAGACAACCGATGGGACATCCTGTAGAAAGGGGACCCTGGAGCAAAGTTTGTGAGGCAATATCCATGAGTGGAAGGAGTCCTAGACTCTGGGAGGTATGTATAAAAGTTTGTTCAGACCATGGACATTCGGTCTGTAGACAGTGGAATCCAGCTTTGGAAACACCTCATGAAGAGGCAAGCGTTCCTGACTACAAAAGTGCAAGAGGCCATGTGGCCTCGGAGTTGTAGGCAAGCTTTTGCAGCCACTTGTGGACTGTTGCACAGCTTGGGAACAAAAAGGTTGATAGTGTTAAAAGGATGGAGTGGGAGAGGTGCTATTCTTTTGCATGAGTCAAAATGTGCTCCTGTGAACTCCAGTTTTTGGGTGGGAGTGAGTGAAGATTTTCTTTGTTCATTCGCAGGCCAAGAGCATGGAAAAATTGGACTGTCCATTGTGTGGATTGAATGGCTTCTTGGAGGGTCCTGAATTTGAAAAGGCAGTTGTTGAGGTAAGTAAAAATTATGATTCTCTGCCTTCTGAGATGAGCTGTTATGACTGTGAGGAGTTTGGAAAAGACACGAGGCGCAGTCGAGAGGCCAAAAGGTAGGACCCCGTACTGGTACTGTTGTGAGCCCAAAACAAAGAGAATAAAACATCTGTGGGCAGGATATATGGTCACAGGAACATAAGCATCCTGCAGGTCGAGGGCTGAAAACCCGATCTCCCTGCTCCAGTGCTGGAATTATGGTTGCAAGAGTCACCTTTTTTATTTTATTTTATTTTAATTTAATTTTATTTTATTTAATCAATTTATTGAGGCATCTGAGGTCGAGAATAGATCACCATCCCCCAGTTTTCTTTTGTGTTAAAAAGTAATGGGAGTAGAACCCTTTTCCTCTGTGTTGGTCAAGCGCTGGTTGTACTGCTCCTAATTGGAGGAGGTGATGCACCTCTTGGTGGAGCAGTTGTTCGTGAGAGGGGTCCCTGAAAAGGGAAGGGGGGAGGGGAAAATGGGCACTGAAGTAAGGATGATGTTTTCTGTACCGTCGGTCACATCTTCAGATTTGCTTATTAGTGGGAGGGGGTTGACATGGAGCCAATGAATTGGTGTGGCGACGTTGATATCTTGGTCACTGATGTTGTTGTTCATATGTCTATGACTTTGTTGCGTATACATTGGTATCATGGATGTTGATAAGGTTGGTTTTTATATTGTCTCCTCCTATTTGCAAGGGTTTGGATACTGAGAGACTGTAATGTCGCTCTTGAGTCCTTCATGGAGTGAAGCACATCGTTGACGTTACTGGCAAATAGTTTTTCACCATCAAAAGGGAGATCTTCTATGGTATTCTGAACCTCGCAAGGAAAAGAAGACGATGAAAACCATGAAGCTCGACACATCATGACTGCTGTAGCAGTGGACCTCACAGCTTTGTTAGCAACATCAAGCGCAGCTTGTAGTGCGGTACGGGAGATGATTTCTCCGTCAGAGACTATGGCTTTAAACTTATGGTTTTTTGCCCCCTGGAATGTCATCAATATAGGCCATGAGTTTCTCATAATTTCTGTGCTCATATTTTGCCAGAACAGCCACATAATTAGAGATCCGGAATTGTAATGTGAACGAAGCATACACTTTACGACCAAGCAGATCCAGCCTTTTACTGTCTTTATCAGTTGGGGTAGATTTGGGAACTGGTGTTTGTTCTTTTGGTTAGCTACCTCTACTACCAATGAGTTTGGCTCTGCGTGAGTAAAAAGGAACGCAGACTCTTTGGAAGAATAAAATATTTCCAGTTAGCTTGCTTACAGGTAGGTGTGCTAGTAGCCAGTGTCTGCCATATGGTTTTGGCAGGGTTCATAATGGCTGGATTTATAGGTAAGGCAATCTTGGATGTGGAGGAAGGTTGCAGGATGTCAGTCAACTCATGTTGGTTTTCAGAAAACTTCCTCCAGATTAATCCTCATCTCATTGGCGACTCTTTTAAAGAGGTCTTGAAATTTTAAAAAGTCATCCAACAGTGTTGGTGGGGGAGGCAGTATAGCCTCATCCTGTGTGGATACGGGCTCCACAAGCGTTGGGGAAGCATGTGTAGCGTGTTCTTCAAAGTGAGGAGTAACAGCTTGTTGTTGTGTCTCATTCATAGCCATATGCACTGGTGGTGGCGAGGTGGCATTGCTCCTATTTTTGGCATCTTGGGGATCATAGTGGAATCGTTTATATGGTGCCCATGGACCCCGTACTGCCACTGACTGTGGAAGAGCATAGGTGGGGCCATCCACGGGTTTGTATACCAGGGAGGGAGGTCTTTGATGAACGAAGACCTAGATTTTCTGTGACCAGTGCTGATTTGGCTCTGTGACTGGGAGAACTGGTATGGTGAAAAGTCTCGCTGCACTATGGCTTCCTCATCACTACAAAAGTGAGATACAGCTGGAGACAGGTGTCCGGACCGCATGCAAATGTCCAGAGAAAAATAAGTGTCAAGTAGAGGTAACTGTAGGTTAGATGACACCTGTAGGTCCGGGGAATGAATCAACTGCAGTGCCGGAGAGCCTGTGTGAGAGAAACCCTCCGTTAGGAGTGCCTGTGGTGCTGAAGGGTCGTTCGGCACCGATGTTCTCTGCACCGTAGCGCTCAATGCATGCAAGAGAACTAGATAAATTCATGGTGTATAAATCCATTAATGGCTATTAGCCAGGATGGGCAAGGAATGGTGTCCCTAGCCTCTGTTTGTCAGAGGGTGGAGATGGATGGCAGGTGAGAGATCACTTGATCATTACCTGTTAGGTTCACTCCCTCTGAGGCACCTGGCATTGGCCACTGTCGGTGGACAGGATACTGGGCTGGGATGGGTCTTTGGTCTGACCCAGTATGGCCATTCTTATGTTCTTATATCGGTGGTGCCGGGAAGGTAAGCGCAGCGTGGGTCTGTTCCCACAAGGTCCTCTCTGCTGTCACCGTGTCCATTGCGGTGCCGAACGGTGCCATGAGAGAGGCAGGCAACTGGAAGCCTGAAGCCTCAGCACCGGGAGCTTGCACTGTTGCTTCAGCCACAGGCGGGATTAGCGCGATGCCGGGGAAACCAGCACATCAAAGGTGCTGAGCCGAGAGAAGGTCTGTATAGAAGAAATATACCTGCTCGGTGACCTTTATGCTTGCAATGTTTCCCTTCTGGGTGAGGGAGGCGGGCGTTTTTTCTTTTGTCCTTTTTTTCCTTTTTGTCTTTTTTGGAGGCGGGAGGGCTGCGGTTCACTGAGGAGCCTGTACCTGGGTCAGAAGCAGGTCTGAGTGACTTCTACCCAAGAATCATTTTCAGGTGAAGTTCTCTGTCTTTATGTGCCCTGGATTTTAATTTGGAACAATGGGCACATTTTTGAGGAATAAAGGACTCCCCCAAGCATTTTATACACTGGGAGTGGCCATCCGAGATAGAGATGGCATCCCTGCACGTAGTGCACCACTTAAATCCTGGGGAGCCAGGCATATTAACATCGGCTGGAGGCTGAGAGGAACAAGCGGGAATTAATTTTAATTTTTTTTTAAGGGATGAACTTATCTAGTAACTAGAGTGCTAAACTAAGTGAAAAAAAGGATGTAGAATGGGTAAGAGAAAAAGTTTTAACGAGTCTGCTGTAGGTCTGACTCTGGCCGGGGATGGTAGAGAAGGAACTGAGGAGTTCGGCCGCGCATGCGCACTATTAAGACAAAACCGGTATGTGAGGCAGGCTCCGTGCATGCGCAGCCAATACGGGTACTGCTGTAAAAATCTCCAAACAACGGCGCAGGGGCGCAGCAACACCTACAGTAGAGCACCCACAGGGACACCTCTCGAAGAAGAATTGTAAATGTTGGGGGAAGAGGTGAGGCCACACTCCGCCTAGATCCCAGCTCAGCCCAGGTCTACACTACGGGGTTGGGTTGAATTTAGCTGCGTTAGGTCGATTCTAAAATGAATGCGCCTACACAACCAACCCTGTTCCGGTGACCTAGAGGGCTCTTAAAATCGACTTCTGTACTCCTCCCTCGCTAGGGAGGGAACTAGCGCTAAAATCGACCTTGCTGGGTCGAATTTGGGGTAGGGCAGAGGCAATTCGACGGTATTAGCCTCCGGGAGCTATCCCAGAGTGCTCCAATGTGACCGCTCTAGACAGCACTTTCAACCCCGATGCACTAGCCAGGTACACAGGAAAAGCCCTGGGAAATTTTGAATTTCATTTCCTGTTTGGTCAGCGTGGTGAGCTCAGCAGCACAGGTGACCATGCAGTCCCCCCAGAATTGCAAACAAGCTCCAGCATGGACCGAAAGGGAGACACTGCTGTATGGGGAGAAGAATCTGTGCAGGTCGAACTCTGATCAAAAAGGAGAAATGCTAATATATATGCCAAAATCGCACAGGGTATGGTGGAGAGAGGCTACAACAGGGACACACAGCAGTGTCACATGAAAGTCAAGGAGCTCAGGCAAGCCTACCAAAAGACAAACGGTTGCTCTGGGTCAGAGCCCTATACATGCCTCTTCTATGATCAGTTGCCTGGCATTCTAGGGGGGACCCTACAACTACCCCACCACTGTCCGTGGACACCTGCAAGGGGGGGAGTCTCACGCAACAGGGAGGAGGATTTTGCGGATGAGGAAGAGGAGGAGGAGGAGGACAATGAGCAGCAGGCAAGTGGTGAATCCGTTCTCCTCAGCAGCCAGGACCTTTTCATCACCCTGGAGCCAGTGCCCTCCCAAGGCAGGATTCCCGACCCTGAAGCCAGAGAAGGCAGCTCTGGTGAGTGCACATTTGTAACTACAGTACAGGGTTTAAAAGCAATAGTGTTTAATGTTTGATTTGCCCTGAAGAACTGGGATGCATTCACGGCCAGTACAGCTACTGGAAAAGTCTGTTAATGTGTCTGGGGATGGAGCAGGAATCGTCCAGGGACATCTCCATGAAGCTCTCCTGGAGGTACTCTGAAAGTCTTTGCAGAAGGTTTCTGGGGAGGGCTGCCTTATTTCGTCCTCCATGGTAGGACACTTTACCATGCCAAGCCAGTAGCAAGTAGTCTGGAATCATTGCAGCACAAAGCATGGCAGCGAAGGGTCCTGGGTTTTAGTCACATTCAAGCAACATTCGGTCTTTATCTTTCTGTGTTAGCCTCAGTAGAGTGATATCATTCATGGTCACCTGGCTGAAATAGGGGAATTTTTGTAAGGGAACAGTAAAAGGACCCCGTTCATGCTGGGTTGTTTGTGCTTGGCTAAAAGGGATCATCCCAGAGAATAGCCACGCGGTGGGGTGCGGGGAGGTGTGTGCTGCACATCCACCTGAAAACCGCAGCCCCTCCTTTTAAATGTGAAACCCACCCAGCATTGCTTGCTATGGGAAAGGATGGTGCTGCAGTTTGAAACCATTCCCACATGTTTTGAAGGCGTAAGAAGCCAACCCTGCATACCAAAAGGCTTACCATGGCTGTCTGGAAACTGAATTCTGTTGCCCAGCTGTGTGTGATGTGTCACCATACCGGCAGGTGCTCAATAGAAAAGGCAAAATGCGACCTTGTATCTAAAGCACATGTGCTGTCTGCTGTGAATTGCTTGATTCACAGTAAAAGAGCCTCTCCCTTTTGTTCTCAGAAATGTATAATCTTAAATTTTACTCTCCCTTTTTATCTCCCCCCAGGTGCAAATGTTTCTATGCTTCCCCTATCATCTTCGTCCCTGAGGTTATCGCAGATTAGAAGGCGAAAAAAACGCACCCGCAATGACATGTTTTCTGAACTTATGCAGTCCTCATGCACTGATAGGGCACAGCTTAATGCATGGAGGCGTTCAGTGGCAGAGGCCAAGAAAGCATTAAGTGAGCACAAAGAGCAGAGGCAAGGGGAGATGCTGAGGCTGATGTGGGAGCAAATGGACATGATGAAGCATCTACTGGAGCTGCAGGAAAGCCAACTAGAGCATAGACCCCCCACTGCATCCATTGTATAACCGCCTGCCCTCCTCCCCAAGTTCCATTTCCTTCTCACCCAGATACCCAAGAACACCCAGGGGAGGCTCCAGGCACCCAGCCACTCCACTCCAGAGGATGGCCCAAGCAATGGGAAGGCTGGCATTCAATAAGTTTTGATTTGTAGTGTGGCTACAATAAGCAATGTGGCCTTGTCCTTCCCTCCTCCCAATCCCACCCCACCCGGGCTACCTTGTCAGTTATCTCACTTTTTCTTTAATTAATAAAGAAAGAATGGATGGTTTCAAAACAACAGTGACTTTATTTCCTTTGCCAGCTGTGATCAAAGGGGGGAGGGTGGTTGGCTTACAGGGAATTAAAATTCACACAGGGGGCAGGTTTGCAGCAAGGAGAAACACACACAACTGTCACACTGTAGCTTGGCGAGTCATGAAACTGGTTTTCAAAGCCTCTCTGATGCGCAGAGTGCCTAGCTGTGCTCTTCTAATTGTCCTGGTGTCTGGCTGCTCAAAATCGGCCACGAGGCGATTTGCCTCAACCTCCCACCCCGCCATAAACATCTCCCCCTTACTCTCACAGATATTATGGAGCACACAGCAAGCAGCAATAACAATGGGAATGTTGGTTGCACTGAGGTCTAACCTAGTCAGCAAACAGTACCAGCGAGCTTTTAAACGTCCAAAGGCACATTCTACCCCCATTCGGCACTTGCTCAGCCTATGGTTGAACTGTTCCTTACTACTGTCCAGGCTGCCTGTGTATGGCTTCATGAGCCTTGGGAGCAAGGGGTAGGCTGGGTCCCCAAGGATAACTATTGGCATTTCAACATCCCCAATGGTAATTTTCTGGTCTGGGAAGTAAGTCCCTTCTTGCAACTGCTTGAACAGCCCAGAGTTCCTAAAGATGCGAGTGTCATGCACCTTTCCCGGCCATCCCACGTTGATGTCGGTGAAACATCCTTTGTGATCCACCAGTGCTTGCAGCACCATTGAGAAGTACCCCTTGCACTTTATGCACTGGTTGGCAAGGTGGTCCAGTGCCAAGATAGGGATATGCATTCTGTCTATCACCCCACCACAGTTAGGGAACCCCATTGCAGCAAAGCCATCCAGTATGACCTGCACATTTCCCAGCGTCACTACCCTTGGCAGCAGAATGTCAGTGATTGCATTGGCTACTTGGATCACAGCAGTCCCCACAGTAGCCTTGCCCACTCCCGACTTGACCGGTAGCAGTCAGGCATCGCAAGCTTCCACAGGGCTATTGCCACTCACCTCTTAACTGTCAGGGCAGCTCTCAGCTTGGTATTCCTGTGCTTCAGGGCAGGAGAAAGCAACTCACAAAGTTCAAGAAAAGTGGCCTTATGCATGCAAAAGTTTCGCAGCCTCTGTGAATCATCCCATACCTGCAACACTATGCGGTCCCACCAGTCTGTGCTTGTTTGCCTGTCCCAAAATTGGCGTTCCACTGTATCAACCAGCCCCACTGCCGCCATGATGTCCCAATTGCCACAGCCCGTGCTTTCACAGTCATCCTCGTGCTGGCGTCTCTTAGCCCAGTTCTGCACATACTCCAGGATAATGTGCAAGGTGTTTACAATGCTCACAACAGCAGTGGTGAGCTGAGCGGGCTCCATGCTTGCTGTGGTATGACGGGTAACCCAGGAAAAAAGGCACAAAACTATTGTTTGCCATTGCTTTCAAGGAGGAAGGGAGGAGGGGCGACTGATGACATGTGCCCAAAACCACCCTTGACAGTGTTTTTGCCCTATCAGGCATTGGGAGCTTAACCCAGAATTCCAATGGGCAGCAGAGACTGTGCGAACTGTGGGGTATCTACCCACAGTGCACTGCTCCGTAAGGCGATGCTAGCCACGGTATTGAGGACACACTCCCCTGACTTAATGCACTTAGTGGGAACATACACAATCAACTGTATAAAATCAATTTCTAAAAATTTACTTCTATAAAATCGACCTAATTTCGTAGTGTAGACATACCCTGAGATAATCTTACCTGTGGGACTGGGTGCTGAATAGCATGGTGTGGAAGAGACCTGAATGTAAATTGACTGTTTTCTGTAGTTTTATGTAGAGAGTCAGGGATGGCTTTTGCTTGGGGTTGAAATTTTCAAAACTCTTACATGCTGCAATGTATGACATTGCACTCTATATGATTTTATGAAAATATGCTAATGAGTGTGAATATAATGTAACTGGAGTATGCTTCATGCAAAAGGTCTCCTGTAAGGTATCATTACAAAGCTTATAATCTATTGAGTGTGGTCATCCAATTTGTATAAATGTATCATTCTTGTATCTGAAACTAGACATATGAAATATAACTCTGAAGTCCTATTGTGTGGGCCATTAATGATAGCTTGGGATCTTGATGGCTCCTATTAACCAGGACAATTAGTTGTAAATGGCTCTGTTTACTTGTAAGGCTTCCTGTATATGTGTATGCTGGCAAGTGGATAATGAAGTCTTACAGTGACATGTGATCATAGAATCATAGAATATAAGGGTTGGAAGGGACCCCAGAAGGTCATCTAGTCCAACCCCCTGCTCGAAGCAGCCAATGTGATCATGTCACCTGAACTAGAATCTATCTTTAACCTGGTGCTTTTCCACTGAGAAGAAGGGGTGGGAACCCAGAGAGGGGCAAAGGATTCCCGCCTTGTGCAAAAGATATATAAGGCGGTTGAACAGAATAAAGAGGGCTGCAATCATGAGAAATCCCCCTAGCTACCAACTGAGCTGGAACAAGGACTGTACTAGGGGAAAGGATTGGGCCCAGACTAGAAAGGAGTCTAGTCTGTGAAAGACGCTTATTGGAACATTTCTGAGGGTGAGGTTTCATCTGTAATCAGTTTCTTACTGTATTAGGCTTAGACTTGCATGTTTTTGTTTTATTTTGCTTGGTAATTTACTTTCTTCTGTCTGTAATTACTTGGAACCACTTAAATCCTACTTTTTATATTTAATAAAATCACTTTTTGCTTATTAATAAACCCAGAGCAAACAATTAACACTGGGGGGGGGGGGGCAAACAGCTGTGCATATCTCTCTATCAGTGTTATAGAGGGTGAACAATTTATGAGTTCACCCTGTATAAGCTTTATACAAGTAAAACGGATTTATTTGGGGTTTCGATCCCATTGGGAACTGGGTGTCTGGGTGCTAGAGACAGCAGCACTTCTTAAGCTGTTTTCAGTTAAGTCTGCAGCTTGTGGGGGACATGGTTCAGACCTGAGTCTGTGTTGGAGCAGACTGGCATGTCTGGCTCAGCAAGACAGGCTTCTGGAGTCCTAAGCTGCCAGGGAAAACGGGCTCAGAGGTAGTCTCAGCACATCAGGTGGCAGTCCCAAAGGGGGTCTCTGTGACTCAACCCATCACACAGTGGTTCTGTGCCTTAATGTCTGAACCCCAGTGAAATAACTGGGCCTACTGCACATGACATAGGGTGACCAGATGTCCCAATTTTATAGGGACAGTCCTGATATTTTGGGCTTTGTCTTATATAGGTGCCTATTACCCCTCACTCTCTGTCCCAATGTTTCACACTTGCTGTCTGCTCACCCTAACATGACACCAGAGTGGCATTTAAAAAAAAATCCTATAGGTGAAGGTGAAAGTATTTGACATTGGCAGCCATAGAGCTCGAATAGCTACTACTATGGTTAGTTGAAAACCAAACTCAGCAGCAATAGAAACTCCTGCAACAACTGACAATTCACCAGCAGTAATTGATAGAGAGTGCCATCCTGTAACAGCAGATAATGGCAGTGCTGGAACTTCCTGTTCAGGCAACATCCCTGCCTTCAAGACACACTGGTGTAGTCCCCAGACTATCGCTGATGACAGCATCTCTGATCACAATGCTCCCTGAGGACAATCTGGAATCATTTCTTGTTCCTTTTTAGAAGGTGACCCTCAAGGGTATGTGCACTCATAGGGATGGGTTGCAGAGCGTTTTTTCATAGAAGCTCATTAAGACTAGAATTCCTTCCTACTCTTCATCAGCTGGAGCCAAAGTGTGGTGGGTTTTCTTTAGAGGAGAGACTTGTTAACTCTGAAATCTAGATGGAATATCTGCCCAAGGTGTTGGGGGTCAGGTCTAGGCAGAGAGAACTAGATTGGGGTGTGGATGGACATTTGTGGTTGATCTGTCAGCTAAAACCACCTCCATGAATACAGCACTATAAGAATCATTGTGACTTTGACTCTTGATGTTGGAAATCCCACTGGATCCGTGGAAAGGCATACAAGAGGGCACCAGAACACTGCAGAAGGAGTGTGTCCAGAAATGACCCTGGACACATAACTATCTCTGGAACTAAAATTCTGGCATTGACATTGGTGGTGAACATGTCTATCACTGGGGTTCCCATACACGGGAATACTATCTCTGTGGTAGACTTCCACAAGGATCACTCACCTATGACAATTGGCTCTCTGCTCAGGAAATCTGCCAAGTTGTTGCTGACACCTGGGAGGTAGAGAGCCATAGTTGTCTTATGTAGGTGGCATTATGTCAAGATGTTGATGGTTTCCTGGCAGAGAGGAGACAAGCATGGTTTAACTTAGTAAGTAACCTCAGTAAGGTGTAACTTAATTCAACCCAGTTTATTCTTAATTCTGTATAGTTATTCACGGGGATATGCTAGAGAAACCAATGGAGCAACAAATGTTTGGATTCCATAGTATTTTGGTTGTATGTTGCCTGTTCTCTGCTATACTGCACCAGCCCTTTAGAAAGCATCACTCTACATTTTGTATTGGAAATCAGTAATCACATGCTACGAGAAGGCTCATCTTTCTGATGTGCCAACTCAGTGCAGTGGGAGACCGTTTGAAAGTGATGGTGTATTCCAAGTTGAATTTAAAAGAGATGATTATACTACTGATATTGAATAGGGGAGTGTGAAGGGACTAAAAATATCACTTTCAGATTTCTGTTTTCAAATGATTTGCTCACTAGAGCAGCAGTGTGATGAATTATTTTACATGTGAAGGAAAAATTTCCTCTTAATGATTTGTGAAAATAACATTTCCTTTTGTGCTATAAAGAATAGTGTTAGTGCAACTAGAGACTTAACTGAACATCCAGAATATATAAGAACATTCACCTTTGAGAAAAAACACAGCACTTTCCTTTTTCAAGAAAAATAAAGATATGCAAATCCTCAATGTCCATTTTAAAATCTGAAAAACCTGCAGAAAGGTGCACT